CCCCGTGCAGCGACTTGCTGGGATTTAGTTTTGGCTCCCGCTTGCCGTCCCGGCCACCAGCCAGCCCCAAGATGGTTCACCACCTCACCTGCGTCCCAGCCTCATACACGGTGGACGGGGTTGGGTCGTGCTTCAGGGGCTCTTCTGCTGCTCTCCGCTCCTCCCAGCCCGTGGGTGAGCCGTGCCGCCGAGACCCGCTGGCTAATGTCCCTGCCGCCTCCTGGATGGAGCCTGCGGGGAGGGAGAGGAGCGGCACCGTGTTACCTTCGCAGAGTGACCCCCCCCGGCTTCGAGCAGCTCCGAGGGGGGCTGCTCCACGCCGGGGAAAGCCTTTTGCGGGCAGTGGGCTGGGGCACGGCAGGCAAACAGAAAGGGAGCAAGAAAAGGAAGTGAGAAGGAAAGGAGGAGGGGAAACACGGCGGCAGATGCTCTGCCAGCCCCACGCTTCGCCTGGGACCCCCTCCCATGCTTTGTCGGTGCTGCCGAGCCCTGACAGGGTGCGGGGCTCAGTGCCGACCTCCCACGCCCCTGGCCGTGCCCCGCGCCGTGGGGAAGCGCGGCCGGACTCCCCCGGCGTGTTTGGGCCCGGGATGGGGAAGTCGGAGCTGCTCCACAGCATCATGTGAGTGGAAGGAAACGGGGTGGGTGGGGGGAGAGTTTGCACAGCTCCCGGCACTAAACCAAAACTCGCTCCGTGCCAAGTGTTGGCCGAGTCCAGCGCTCTGCACCGCTGCTACAGGACGGTCCCCCCCGCGCCCGCCCCCCCCTCCCTGCCCCTGCCTGCCTGCCTGCACCACTGGCCCAGCCTGGAGCAGGGATGCTCCTGGGCAGGAGCGGTGCCGGGGCTCAGTGCCCACCTCCCTGCGGGGTGGTGGTAAGGATGTGGTCACGGCCAGCTCTGCTTCCCTGCGCTCTGCCGAGGGCAGCGGGCAGCAATCACGGTCCTTCCTCTGCCAGAAGGAAGGAACGGGAGCGGGGGGCAGCGGGCAGGGAGAGCCCCCGGCCGCCTCAGCCCCAGCATCCCTGTCTTGAGCTGCCCCAGGTCTCATAACCTCGGGTCTGAGTCCTGCCGCGGACTCAGCAAGGCGGATGGAGCCGGGGTGCATCGCAGCTGGGGACAGGGCTGTCCCC